TACTTCTGGAGTCTTAACCAGCTAAAATCGTATAGTTTGCCGTTGATAGCACGGTGTGGCTTTCTTTCCCGCTGCTCGTCCAGCTAGGACCACCCTACCCATTGGGGCTTTGGCTTGCAGGATTAACAGGAGCTGAGTGGGAGGATTCCCTGCCCCCAGTGACTGGTCTGTCCTTCCAAGTCCAATCGATGAGTCCACTGTCATCAGTAGTGCCCTGGAGTACTGCAGGATCTGAGACTACCGAGAACTGAGGCTACCAAGACCGCCACAGAGGGCTGGCTCGATTCTGACATTTCGTTGCCAAATATGTCACCTTGGAGCCAGTTCAGCCAAGGAGACCCCGTTAACCTAATACCCCCCCCTCCGCCCCACCACAGAGGACAGTTACTAGTTGGTTGTATTCAGGATTATGAAGGACTGATTTTTAAGTACAGATATCAGGAAGTATCTCTGTGCACACAAGTAATTAAGAACTGGAACAGCTAACCAGGGAAGGCTGATGAAACAAGGATGCTGGATGCCTTTAAGGAAGAGCTTTGATGCTGTAATGAGCCTGGGGTTTCTGGAAGCATTATTTAACCCTGATAAGTGGTGAAATCTTTTCCCCCCATTGCATAATTCTCAGCCGCCTTCAGTAATTTCTCCTTCAATCCTATTTGTCTCCTCTTTCTGCTCCCTTCCTCGCCCTCTTCCTCCTCTTTTACTCCCTTCTCTCTTTTCTCCTCTTCCTCTCCTTTCCTCTTCCTCTCTTCCTTTTCTCTCTCCTACTTTCTTCTCTCCTGTCTCTCTTCCTCTCTTCCTAATAAACACTCATCGAGACTCTTCCCTATAAACCAATTTGTCTCCAGTGTGTCCTTGATTAGTTTGTGCCTTTTATAATTCCTCTAGAACGCTTGAGACGTCTTGACATATATAGGGCTTGTCCTTTTTTCCTTTTCCCCCCTCCTCCACTTCTGTTGGTCCAAAGCTTGAACTCAACCTATGTTCTCAGCCACAAACACTGTGATTAACCGTAGTGTAAGACTCCGCTGAATTCCTCTCGTTCTGCACTTCAAGCGAACTGTTCAATTTATTGTCCAGTTAGGATCATCTGAGCCAACAGGCTCACAGGGGCTGAGGACATGTCTCCTTTAGGTGACTGTTGGAATCGTGTCTCAGAGTATGTTTAACCTCTGGGAGACCCTACTTACCGCTTCCATCTGCAAAGATATCAACAGTGAAAAGATGGGATCCAGTAGATTGTTATTATTGTATATAAACAGCATATGTTTCTTTATATACAATAACATACAAGCAGTTGCATATACTGTTTATCTACAATAATTTATCTATTGTATCCCATCTTTTCACAGTGTATAAAAACAATAATAATCCTTGCAATAAATGGAGCACCTTATCATGTCTTTGAGACGTCGATTTTTGTTTGGTCAACTGGGCATCCGACACATGTGGAAACCCATCACTGAGCTTCACAGTCTGGTTTGGACGCTCTAAAGCACAGTGATGGGTTTCTGCGTGAGTCAGACACCTGGCTGTCCAATATATATACTGCATATAGAATATTATAGGTATTTTCAAAGAATTCTATCTTGTGAACTCTCACATCACTTATAAAACAAAAGGTTGCTTTGTTTCCATGTTGTACCCAGGAATTATTGAACAATGCAGTAATTGAATATCTTTATTGTAATGACTAATGTAATATTGAAATATTAACACATTATTAAATATAAGAGTATAAGTGATCGGTTACATGTGTGCTTTGATATTTTACATACTAATTTAATAATAATCCTTGCATTTGATATGGCATCTTATCACATCGTTGAGATGTCGGATTTACTGTAAAGTGTAGTGACTGTGTGTTTGTAGGCGAACAGAGCCAAGTGTAGGTGAAACCCTTGACTGGTTTGGATATTCTTAAGCACGTCAAACACCCGGCTGGTCCAAAACAAGTGTTCCTCCCATCGTCCCCGCCAACAATCATTCCAAATAAAATTGGTCATTCACTTCACAGGGGAATGAACTCCAGCGCAGACACGATGGGGAAGAGCAGGGAATGGGATTAGAGTAGAGAGCTCCAGTAGGGAGCGAGTACCAGCACAGACACAATAGACTGAATATGTGCTGTAAACAGTCTATAATTCTAAGACAGCGTTGAAAATCTGATTTGAAATTCAAACATCAATCTTCTCATTCGAATCAACTGCTGTTAATTTAAGTGGAATACAGCTATAGCGAACAAGTGGAGCAATCGGCTGTGATGAACCGGTTCAGATAGACAGTGACACTGGATGGCCAGCAGGTAGCGCAGTGCAAAAAATATAAAAATTCAAAAATAATTTAATGCAGGAAAATATAACCAGGTAAAATTCATGAATTCTTTCCCCAGGGATCTTCCACGTTCCCATATATTAAGGAGCTATTATTTAGATGTGCAAAAATGGGATTCTCTGCCACAAACGGCTTTGGGAGCAGTCTGTAAATTCCTTTTTAATGATGAATAATAATACTTGCATTTGATACAGCGCCTTTCACGTCAGCAGTTTGCCCCAAAACATTTCACAGGACCGTTGCAAAATGTGTTACTTATTCTGTGAACGAACACAGCATCCAGTTTGTTCACAGCAATGTCCCACAAATAGCCATGTCGTGAATATCTGCTTTTATCTGGTGGATTGTTGACCAGCACACCAGGTGAAACTCCTTTCTCTTTTCCAGTTGATCTTTAACATCTGCCCGAACAGGTCACAGACAGGATCATGGTTTAACATCTCGTCTAAAGGGGGCAACACGTCTGACAATTTAGTGCACCCCCACCCCAGCAAGGCACTGGAGTGTCAAAGTGAGCTCAAAGTCCTGATTATAAAATATATTCCTGCCTTTCCTTGAGCTTCCTCCTCCAAACCTTCACCTGTTAACAAGTAACACGCATCAGCAGAATAAACAAAGGTGAGAGGCAGACAAGGGTTTAAAGTTCACAGGTTTGAGAAAGACCTGTTTAGTTGAAAGATACTCATTGCTGAACCCAGCTGATGGCGGGGCCACTCTCGCTCTCTCTCTCTCTCCTCATTTCCTTGCTCACAAAGAGCTTGTTTAAACATAGCCCTGCTCCTGGGATCAGCTTTCAGATCCAGGGAAAGCTACAGATGAATAAAAGGTGCTGGTTTAACTGTGTGCCATCGCTGCTGAAGTCTCTCTCTTGCCTCTGGCAAATATGAGGTTAAGCGCTTTGACCCTGGCATACTTCTCTGCGATAGAGAGCACGAACGAAAGGGGGAGAGATCGGCCTTTGCATTTGCATTTCAGAAACACGTTGAGAGCTCCCGGCCCAGGCTGATGCTCCAGCCGGAGGGAGCGCCACATTGTAAGATCTTTTTCGTAAGGTGGGAGGGAGCGGACGAGGTGGAGGGACTCCAGGATGGAGTTCCAGAGAACGAGGGCAGAATGGTTAAAAATTAGTGAGGATGGTCTTTGACCATTCTTTATGTCATCCTTTCCCCCTCCCCCTCAACCCCATGCACCCCATACCAGTGGCATCCACCCCTTTGGAATCCCAACCCCCAGCTTGGGTGAAAATCCTTCGATGTCCAGCTCCTCGGACATCCTCCCGGCACAAAAGGCGCTGTGTAAATGCAATGGTGGTGGTTGTGGTTCCCTGAGCAAAAGGAGCAGCTGAGTCAGCTGGAGGTCGGAGAGATAGAGTGAGGTGAGGCTGTGGAGGGATTTAAAGGTGAGGACGAGTATCTTGGATTTGAACCACTGGGGGATGCAGAGCCAGTGGAACCGGGCAAGGACGAGGGTGGTTGGCTCGCAGAACCTGGTATGGGAGAAGACACAAGCTGCAGAGTTCTGGATGGTCATCAACTTGTGGAGGGTAGAGCTGAGGAATCTAGTGAGCAGGAAGTTCAAATAGTCTTATTATAAATAGCATTATATCATCATAATAATTTAACCACTCAATCCGCGACTGTGTGTGGGACACTGCTGTGTGCAATGGGCTGCAGCGTTTTGCCCGCAAAATATAATCAATTCACTTTACAGTATATTCTGTGAAGTGCTTTGAGACATCGAGAAGATATGATAAGGCGCTATATTCAATGCAAGGATTATTATTATATCGCTATTAGTGTCACAATATTATTACCCACTGGATCAGTGCGGGTGCATCTGTAAGATATAATAAAAATAATAATTCATATCAGAAGGACGTCTCAAAGCACTTGACAGTGCAGTGACTGTATTTTGCAGACCACAATGTCCCACTAAAGTGAAAGACTAATTTTATTTGAGGGAGAGAGGTGTGTGTGTGTGTGTACGTGGGGGGGTGGGGGGGAGATTGTTAGCCAGGAGAATTCTTTATGATTATATTCTATTATAAACCAAAAATAACAGATTTTTTAAAGAGGAAAACAAGGAAGAAAATTTGTAGGAAACGCAGTTTGTAGGTTATTTTACCAAGAGTGATGACAGACTGTGACAGACACAGTCAATTGTGACAGGTCAATTGTGATCAGTTAGGTGATGTCTCAGCGCTTAACAACCACTGATCGACAGCAAACTTTGACATTAAAGTTGACAAAGACGGATTAACCCTCAACTGGAGCCCGCATATTCAGGAACACACTTGGTTTCCTCACACTGAGGGATTTTTTTTAAAAAGAAAAAGCCTTCTGATCACTGTACAAAGTTATATATATATTTAGGCTGTTATATAAGGCTGAAATTGATAAAATAGTGGTGGGGTGGGGGGGGGGGGGGTGTAGGGAGAAGGGGGGGAGGAAGAGGGCGCAGGCAGGTCCAAAGGAATTGGATTAGAGCAAAAAATAAGAGATAAAAAGATTTTAGGCTGAGATACATTTACGGATCGGAAACTACAACAGCTCCCAGGTTTTTAGTGTTGAGTTCGTGACGTGAGGACAAGTCCCCTCTCCCCCCCCCACCACCACCACCACCGCAAAAAAAGGGGGCGGACATCAAGCTTGTTCTTCCGGCTGCAGTTACATTCTCAAGGACTCCAGAGTCGAGAAGGACAAAGTATATACAAGCTTGCGGGAGGCCTCATTAACCTAGGACTCTGAGATGAGTTTCATTCGGGGCACGAACCGCTTCCAGGTGTCCCTGCAGCAGGTATGTGATCTGACTCCACTTCAAATCTCTTCCTCTTTGTTATTTGAGGTTCTGCGCTAAACTCGGTTCCCAGGAGAGGACGAAACCTTTGACCAGTTGCCTTACTCCACACACACACACACACACACACCACACCACGAGCCTCTGTTTACTTAGCAGTGAGTAGTTATAATCCTCTTTTCAAAGACCAGGCACAGACACCATGTTCCGAATGGCCTCCTTCTGCGCTGTATAATTCTATGATTCTGTGAATCCCTTCAGTTATAATCGCTTAAAAATAACTGCTACTAATAATAGTAATAAAAATAATACTTTGGTCGCTCAGTCCACAACTCTTTGCGGGACGCTGATGTGCGCAATTGGCTGCCCCGTTTCGCCCACCAATATACCCAGTCGATTCACTTTACAGCGTATCCTGTGAAGCGCGTTGAGATGTCTCGAAGATGTGATGAGGCGTTATTTCGAATGCAAGGATCATTGAACTCCATACGCCCTTCAACAACAACGACAACATTGCATTTATATCGCGCCCTTCACGATCCTGGAGCGCTTTACGCCAGCGCTAGGCAGGCTCCACCAGCTCCCTCTAACCGGATGGATCAATTTCGTTCGACCCTCACATTTGTCTACAAATCCCTGGCACCTTCCTACCTTTCCGACCCGCTTACCGCCCAACCCCCAATACAGTTGTCTGGAAACTCTGGAATATTCCCCCTCAATCCCTCCACCTTGTCCCCTCCTTCCCCACATTCAGGTCTAATGTCTCACCATAAGGCGACACTTCCTCCCCCACCTCCAGTAGTGCATTGAAGTGTCCGCCTGGACTGAGCTCAATTTCAAGGATTAAATAACAGCACATTAACAATATTTAACTGCGCAATTTACTTTCAATGTTCCTGTGGGCGTGATTATTAATAAAATGGGCCCGACATGGAATATCTGGTAATTCATAAAACCTGGAGTTTGCTTTAACACTTCAAGGTATAGGGTGAAATCGTGATTTTTTCATAACAGCTTTGATTAGATCACACTGAAGCAGTTATGAAATCGTTTGAACTTTTCAATGCTAAATTTGCACAGCGCCAGAGAGAACAGTGCTACACAAGGGAAGGCAGAAGAGAAAAAGAGAAGGGAGTTTGTCTCTCTCTCGGTGGCCTGACCCACAGTCCCCCCAAATAATTGCATATCAAACGTATTATGTTCCAATAATATTTTAATAATTAATAATAAACTTTACAGTATATTCTGTGAAGTGCTTTGAGACATCTCGAAGATGTGATAAGGCGTTATATATGGAGTCCTGTAGCTCAGTGGTTGGAGGAGCCCTCCCCTCCCAAGCGAGAGACCTGGGTTCGATTCCCGGCTGGGCAAAACCTTGGGCAAGTTTCCTTGCTCCACACGCCTGATAATAATCCCTCAAGAAAAAAAATAATAATTTGTTCACTCAATCCACGACTCTTTGTGGGACGCTGCTGTGCGCAGGTGGCTGCCGCATTTTGCCCACAAATATACAGTCAATTTACTTTACAGTATGTTCTTTTGAGACACTTTGAGACACCTAGAAGATGTGAAAAGCGCTAAAGCAAATGCAAGGATTACTATTAATAACTTATTATTATGTCAAGTGGAAGGATTATTGTCAATAACAACCCATGCATTCAGTACAGGGCCTTATCACTATTACCATACCCGTTTTTTTTTACTCCACCCTTTGGAACTTCCACTTTCACAGTTAATTATTTCATGGCTGTTTTGCAGAACGTTGCTTTGCGCAACTTGAGACATAGGAATAGGGGTGGGCCAATTCCACTGGATCATGGCTGACCTCAATTCCATCTGCCTGCCATGAGTTGGTGCTATGTTCACCTGTAAAATACAGTCACTGCACTTTACAGTAAAGTCCTGTGAAGCTCTTTCAGAAGGCTCAACGATAAGGCACTGTATCAAATGCAAGGATTAATATATCTTGGAACATAATTTGTTTGATACGCAACCTCTGATTACATCATCGAAGGGGCAGTTTGGAGGAGGTACAGAGTGTTGTGTGTGTGAGCACGAGGCGAGGTCTGGATGATAATTATAATCTTTGCATTTAATATAGCGCCTTATCACGTCTTCAAGACGTCTCAAAGCGCTTCATACAATACCCTGTAAAGTGGATTGATTGTGTATTTGGGGGGTGAAACGGCAGCCAATTGCGCACAGCAGCGTCCCACAAACTGTCGTGGATTGAGTCATGAAATTTATTTATTTTATGGACGGATTATACTACCCCCCGGAAAGCGATCCGCCAGGTTTCTACTTACTGCTAAACAGAGGTGTGTGGAATAAGGAAGATGGCCGAAGGTTTCGCCCTGCCCGGGAAATAACCCCGTGTCAACTCGCTTGCGCACTAACCGCTGAGCTACAGGTCTCCACGTAGCGGTTAGATAAAATAAAGAAACTCCCTTCACTTCGCAAGTAGTGCTTCGGGATCTTTAATGTCCACCCGAACAGGCACAGACCTTGGCTTAACAGCTTACCTGAATGATATAACCGAACACTCACGTTCGGCACCTGTGCTCTCTGTTAGAACTGCTGAATAAAATGCCTTGCGAACGGCGATGGAATGCAGACCAGATAATGCAAACCAGATGCTGTCTCCTTGGCACAGTAAACATTAACAGTCATGTCTAGAAATCTCTCTCGCTCTCACTTGCTGTGTCTGTCTCTCTTTCTGTGTTTGTGTGTGTCTCGACCGTTTTGACCGGGTCTACAGTCACCTCCCCCCCCCCCCTCCCCCCCCCCCCCCCCCCGGCTCAGTGCCGTGCTCTGCCACTGTCAAGCGCTCTGGGACACTATCCTGCGTGAGGGCGCTATATAAAATCAAGTTGTTGTTATCCCTTTCTCTCTCTGACTCTCTCTATGTGCTTGTACCTCAAAATCTCTGTGTGTCTCATTTTGTGTGTGTGTCTCCGTCACACTGTGTGTTTCTCTGCCTCTCGTCTCTCTCTCTCTCTCTCTATAGATATATATATTATATATACACCTCTTCTGCCTCTGGGATTCTATCCTGCTTAAGGGACACTATATAATGGAAATTGTTGTCTCTTTCTATGTTCGAGTCTCTCTCTGTCTCTCTCTTTCTCTGTGTTTGTGTCTATCAGTCTCTTTCTGTGTGTGTGTGTGTGTGTGTGTCTGTCTGTCTGTCTGTCCGTCTGTCTGTCTGTCTGTGTGTGTGTGTCTCTCTTTCTCTGTGATTCTTGCTGTACCAATAAATTGGAAAAGAAACCGAGAGCCTGGACCCTCGAGCTGCCCAACATCCCTCACACTGACACCAAACTCCTGATGTTTGTGAAACTAAAACTTTGTCCTTTTTATAAAGTAAATCACCCCCCGAACAGTGTTTGCAGCGCTGAATAATGTGATTGTTATTCTGGCTGTTTTCGAGCCTGGATCCAGATTTAGGAAATCCTTGACTTAAGTAACAGCTTATATATCTTGGGATTTATTTTCAAATCCGCTCACCATTAAGAGAAGGTCCTTTATCCTTTCCCTGGCTATATAGCTACATCCAAAATTGTATCCCAAAATTCTGACAGCTATGAGACTGTTTTGTCTTAAAACTTAAGAGTCCTGTAGTGTATTGTTTAGAGCGCTCGCCTAGTAAGTGAGAGGACCTGGGTTCGATTCCCAGGCAGGATAAAACGTTAGGCAAGTTTCCTTACTCCACACCCCTCTGTTTACCTTGCGGTAACTAGGAACCTGGTCGTTACTCGATTGTCGGATCGCTTATCCGGGGGTAATAACCCCTTCAAAAAAATTATACATATAAATAATTTGGTCGCTCAATCCACGACTGTTTGTGGGGCACTGCTGTGCGCAATTGGTTGCCACGTTTCGTTTACACTCAGGCTTACAATAAAACATAATTTACATTTATGCAGTGCCTTTCAGGTCAAGAGGCTTAAAGAGATATTCCCTAGAAATTAAACTGGCTTCAGATTCAGACCAAACTGTCGACATTTCCCCAATTCTGCCCCATTTTCTGGCTGACACATTCTGCGCCGTAAATTTTCCAATAATAATAACCTTTACATTTGATACAGTGCCATATTGCATCGAAATGTCTTTCAGCTCTTCACAAGATTCACTGTAAAGTGCAGTGACTGTGTATTTTGTGGACAAACACAGCAGTCAATTTGTGCACAGCAATGAGGAGTGGCGGGGAGGGGAGTGGGGGAGTGATATTGTCGTTTCAAATGTAATTTGTATTGTATGGTATCTGTATCAGAAGCACGGATCATTATCAATGATACATTAGCAATACTGGATCGGGAGCTGTAATGGACTGAGAGAAACTAGTTCTGCAGGAGAGCTCCAGCATTGTGCCGTTTCTAGTTCAGTTAACACAGAGCCTTGTAACTTGTCTGCTGAGCTTTGCTGTTAATTCCCATGTTATTTGCTGCGGTAAATTAATTTTGGCCAAAGCAGGGATTTTAGTCATCCTGAATAAGGTCCAGAATAACATTTCAGAAGTGCTTCTTGAATTCACATTGGGTCAGGCGGGTAAAAGAGGGAAAGGGTGTAAACCAAAGTCGAGGGGATCTGCTCAGCTGCCTCTGCCCTTCCGTCTACCGCCCCTCCAACCGCCCCATCTCCCTGTCACACCCCAGCCCCCACCCATCCCTCTCTCCACACCTTCAAATCTGTCTCCCTCTCCTCTCTCACCACCATTATAACCCACATGAAACCGACCACCTGCTCCCTCGACCCCATTCCTACCCCTCTCCTTACCTCCAGCTCCACCTCCTTGCCCCTCTACTCACAGACACCATAAACCTCTCCCTGTCCACTGGGACCATTCCCACCCCTTTAAAAATGCCCGTCATCACTCGTAAGCTTAAAAAAACCTTCTCTGGACTCATCTCTGTTCTCAAATTACTGCCCCATCTCTATCCTCATCCACCGCCTCACCTCTCACCTCAACTTTCATGGTTCTGTCCTTGAATGGTTCAGATCCTACCACTCACACCGTCTCCACTTCATCTCCACAAACAGTTTCTTCTCCAGCCCCCGCACTGTCTCGTGCGGCGTTCCTCAGGGCTCTGAGCTTGGTCCCCTCCTCTTTAATATCTACATGTTCCCTTTTGATGACATCATCTGCAGACATGGGGTCAACTTCCACATGTATACCGATGGTACCCAACTCCATCTCTCTGCCTCCACCCTTGTCTCCAGGACCACTGCTGTCCTGACAGAATGTCTGTCAGACATCAAGTCCTGGATGAGAGCTAACTTTCTACAGTTGAATGTCAACAAGACCGAGGCTCTCCTGATCGGCTCCCGTCAGCGCCTCCACACCTCAGGCGATAACAGCATTATCATCCAAGGATGCTCACTCCACCTTACTAAGCCAGTCTGGAACCTTGGTGTCTTGTTTGACCCTCAACTATCCTTTCTACCCCACATCCATGCCATGACCTGCTTTGCCTTCCTCTACCTCCGTAACATCGCCCGGCTCCGCCACTGTCTCACACCGCAGGCCACCGAGACCCTCATACACGCATTCGTGGAGTCCTGTAGCTCAGTGGTTAAAGCACTCGCTTTGCAAGCGAGAGACCTGAGTTCAATTCCAGGCAGGGCGAAACCTTGGGCAAGTTTCCTTACTCCACACGCCTAATAATAATCCCTCCAAAACCAAAAACAATAATAAAAATTGGTCATTTTCAATCTACGACTGTTTGTGGGACATTGCTGTGCGCAATTGGCTGCCGCGTTCGCCCACAAATATACAGTCAATTCACTTTACAGTGTGTTCTGTGAAGCGCTTTGGGACATCCTCCCGACGTGAAAAGCGCTATATCAAATGCAAGGATTATTATTAAGGATTATTATTATTATTCATGACATCCAGGCTTCACTATGCAAACTATGCCTCCCTAACTCCTCCCTCCAAAGGCCTGCAGATCATCCAGAACTCTCCCCAACCTCTACGACTTCCTAACCGTCTACCAATCTGCCTGCACCCTCCACTAAGCGGGCTCCAGCCTGCTTTATGTCACCCATCTCACCTGCCCCACCATTGGCGGGCCTTCAGCCACTCTGCCCCCATCCTCTGGAACTCCATCCCGCAGTCCCTCTGCCTTGCCTTGTCCAGCACCTTGGGACGTCCTCCCGACGTGAAAGGTGCTATACGAATGTAATTTTGTTGGTGGTGGTGTTGTAAACTGAGATGGATTTACTTACGATCAAAGCCTTGAATGGTGCCACTGAATGTGGTGTAACCCTGCAATTTATTCTATATTATTACTTTGATCAGCTTCCCTGGTAATTTGCCAGTCATTTTTATTATTGTTGTTGTTATTATTGGTAATTTGCTAGTTATTATTGTTATTAATGTCAATATCAGTATTGTTAATGTTAATGATGTAGCAATGTCTCCAATGTGGGACCAACCATTAAGTTTAAACAAGGCTTTTCCCTTCTTTTCGCTCTCTTTGTTGCAAACGCAGGTGATCAGGAGCTGGTACAGCACGTCGGGTCTTCCAAATCACGGCGTCATTGCTGCCAAACAACCCTTTAAAGTTGAATTGGAAATGAATAAACCCTACACCTGGTGTGCATGTGGATACAGCCGTAAGCAGGTACAGCTGAGAACCATCGTGGCTTCTGCTTATTTTTCTTGGTCACCCAGTCTGACACACGCAGCAACCCATCACCGTCATCAGCCGGTTGTCTGACACACACGGAAACCCATCACCGTGATCAGCCGGGTGTCTAACACACGCGGAAACCCATCACCGTGACCAGCCGGGTGTCTGACACACACGGAAACCCATCACCGTGACCAGCCGGGTGTCTAACACACGCGGAAACCCATCACCGTGACCAGCCGGGTGTCTAACACACGCGGAAACCCATCACCGTGACCAGCCGGGTGTCTAACACACGCGGAAACCCATCACCGTGACCAGCCGGGTGTCTAACACACACGGAAACCCATCACCTTGCTTTAAGAGTATCCAAACAGACAGAGTTACACTTATGTATATCACCTACAAATGGACATTTCTCCGTGACTGGAATGGAATGTGAGCTCTTTCCCTAGTTATTAGGTGCAGAGAATTAAGGCTCGGGGGATCTATAGCGTCTGTATAACTACTGGAGTTTAAGCAGCTAAAACTGCACAGCTTGCCATTGAGAACGCTATCTGGCAAGCTTCTCACTGCCTGTCCCATGAGGGTCACTCTATTTGAGGCTCACCTCTCATACTCTCTATCTCTCTCTCTCTCTCTCTCTCTCTCTTTCTCTCTGAGTCTCTAACATTCTGTCCCTGTCTTTGAAAACCTCTATCTTTCTCTGACTTCCAAGCCCGCTTTAACATCGCCACAATTGGAGAATGTCTTATCGACTGCTGTAAAGGTCGAAATAAATAAAATAATACTTGCAGCCGAGCAAGTATCGCGCCTTTCAACGCAGCAGCAGCACATTGCTGCGGACAAATTGGCGGCCAAGTTGGCCTACAAGTTAGAAAGTGAAGCAGAGTGCTTTAGGACATCTTTCCAATGTGAAGGGTGCTGGATCAAAGGTAAAGATTATTATTATTAGGATATTTTATTGGGTTTTCTGTAGCAGGTGCTGTTGCTACAGGTTTAGCACATAATAACACACGATGTGGTGTCAGGCAGCCATGGCTCACGGAGTTTATTGTGGATCAGAGAAGCATTCAAAACTGAACGTCTTTCTCCCAAACCGTCACCAGACAAAGCAAAATAGATAACAAGATGTGGCTCACTTTTTCGACACGGTAAAAACAGACTGTGCTGTGGGAGGAAAGTCAATCCTCTCGATCACTGGGAGCAGGGATTTTTCCTCCTCGGCTCCTGTTAACCCCACCAGCAAAAGTGAACAACCCACCTCGTACAACCCCCGCCTTTCGTTTGTGTTCTTCGGTACTTTAGTGGAGTATTTTGGCAGCGCACGTGTTAAAATGAGCGAGCAGCATAGCCCTAGGGGGGTGTTCAAACACGAGTAGGGAGTGTTACCGTTTTCAATACAAGTCATGAAACTCATTGGGTTCTGGGATCTACTTCAGCTGCTGATACTACAGGAGAGCGTAGAAAGCCCCTCCCTTCCTCCCCCCACCCCACCCGCATACACACACACACAGGAAAGTGCGTGCGTGTATGTGGATGGTGAGTGAGGTCGGACTGAGCCTCGTCTGATGTTTAAAGAAGAATGGATGGTCTGGGACCTGGGAAATCCATCTCCTGGAAGATGATGGATAGAGCAAAAGGCTTTTTTATTCACAGCCTGGCTCAGTCCGTTGCTCTCTTACCTCTGCGTCATACGGTTGGTTCAGGCCTCCCCCCCCCATCCCACCACAGTATATTCTGTGAAGCTCTTTGAGATGTCTCGAAGACATGATAAGACGCCATATCAAATGCAAGGATAATTATTATCATAGCCAATGTTGTTGTGTTTCCCTTCCAGAAATATAACATAACATTTATGGGTTATGGAGGAGGGGGCAGATGAAATCGGCCCGCGGGCCACCAGTTGGACCACCCTGGTCTAGGCAGATGTTCCAGTAGAGTGCTGGGGGTCTATCCTGGCCGACAACAAATACCTAGATATAAACAGTCGTTCACTTTGTGGCTATTTGTGGGGTTGTTGCTGCGTGCAAATTGGCTCCTGATTTCGGCAACAAAATACACAGTCACTAAACCTTATAGTAAACCCTGTGAAGCGCTTTGAGACTTCCTGCCTATGTGAAAGGCGTCATATTAAATTTAAGGATTATTATTATAAGAAAAATTTATGGGATTAGTACCCACGGAAAGCGATCTGTCAATCGACTAACAACTGGGTCAACGTGTGAAGTAAGGAAACTTGCCTAAGGTTTTGGCCTGCCCAGGGATCGAACCCAGGCCCTCTCGCTTGCTTTAGTGTTCTAACCAATACATCACAGAGGTTGTTCAACAGGAACCCTCTGGTGTCTCGCCCAGTTGTCACCTCAGATTTAGTTACTCATAAATTCGTGACAGACACTCTCCTGACCTCAACCTATATTTAAAAGTCCCTGAACTATTAATAGGTCTGGGGTTTACTGACAGCTGTTTAAAGTTTTAATGACTAATTTTGATGTTCTGCAATGAGTCACACAGGATTTCAAAAAGCTGCTCACCAGCGTAGGACAATACTCTCTGAGGACACTCTTTGTGTAACGCAGTGCTGGGTGTTAAACTAAGGCCCCGTCGCCTGTTCCCATGGGAGTTTCACCTCTCTCCACCCACTCCCCCCCACATCCCCCACCCTGCGGTGTTCCTGGCCAATAATATTGGTCAATAATATTGATCTACATCATCGCTGGTAAACAATGATTTCCCTGTAAATGAGAGAGAGAGAGAGAGAAAATCCTTTGCGTCAAGTTTTCTTTATAACTGTTTGCCTTTCCTTTGTTTTTGTAGCCATTCTGCGATGGGACTCACAATTCTGTGCAAACAAAAATGAGCCCAATTAAGTTTAACGTGGAGATGACTGGATATACACTTCTCTGCGGTTGCAAACAGACAGCGAACTCTCCTTACTGTGATGGAACCCACAAGAAGAATTGGGTCCAACAGGCTTCTCTCTCTACGTGTCCATCAAGAAGCTAACGCTGGAGCATATCTACGGGAATGTCTTTCTTGCCACGTTCACAGTCTCGCAGCGCTCTTTAATTGAGATAGTGGGTTATGAAAATAGACTTTCTGGAAATCTCTGTTTAATTGTCTCATTTCAGTCGCTGAATTGAACCACAACATATTAATCAAAAACAACAACAAATTATATTTATAAAGCCTCTTTCACGTCAGAAGGACTTCCCAAGATGCTGGGCAGTCTTTACTCTGGAAGTATCTGCAAACCTCACGCACCGTATTTTATTTGTAAAATAGGAAATTTGAGAGAAGTGACAGGAAAGATTTTAAGCCACTTTCCTTTTTTTTAAAACGGAAACCTTCAAATGAAACCCAGGATTTTCCACCATTCGGCTCCATCTTAAATTTTAGGGCAAAATGTGACAATGTGTCTCAAGGCCGAGAATGGTTTGAATCTCAAGCAACACTGTGGTGATCTGCTACAACGACTTTCTTCTCATTCCACCCAGCAGCACACTCGGCCCATCGTGCCTGTTGCCAGCTCTTCAAAAGAGATACCCAATTAGTCTCACTCCTCCGCTCTTACCCCATAGCCCTGCAATTTTTTTTCCTTTTCGAGTCCCTATCCAATTCCCTTTTGAAAGCTGCCATCGAATCTGCTTCCACCACCTTTACAGGGAGGGCACTCCAGATCGTAACAAATTCGCTGAGTAAAACAGATTCTCCTCGTCTCCCCTCTGGTTCTTTAGCCAAGAAGTTTTGTAAGAAATAATTTATCAAAAGCAATGACAAAATACCTTTGCAACCTCCTTGGCCTTTACGAACCTGACCGTTACCCTCACTTGACCCACACTTGCCTCTTCCCCTACCCCCATTGCCATCACCATCACTGGGTGGGAGGGTGGCCTTTCAGTCACTTGCTGCTTGCTCTCTGGATCTCCATTCCGGATCGCTCTAACGTTCTCCCAACCCTCAAAATATGCCTCAAAATATACCTCTTTGACTATTGTTTTGGCCATCTTTCCCTGACCCCACACCCTCACCCTCAGCACTGGTGCTCAGACACAATTGTCGAGCACCTTGAGACCCCCTCCCAAGGTGACAGTACTGTAAATTGTATTGCCCCACAGACAACTCCACAGACATCGCATTCCTCAGAATTGGTGGTAAGGATTTGACAGAAATAAACTAATCCGATTTGGTTGAGTCGTATTGAAGCCAACTCAGTTACTAACCTGGTCACCACCAAACCATCCTTCCCCTCATCTCCTGGTTGTGATATTATGATGTGAGCTTTGGTCTTGAACTAAATCACAGGGAACCCTTGATGGCCATGGAATATAAGGAGATACAAACAGTCTTATTGAATGGCGCTCTCCTGGATCCATTTCCCGACAGTTGACGTATTGTGTGGGGGAAGGTGTAACGTTACAGTGAAGAAGGGTTAAATGTCATCTTCAGAACCAGGACTGGCGACATTTGGCACAGCCAGACCAGAGTCAGAGCAAGACTTGATACCACACAGGTATCTCTCACCACCTCAATACCCCATTTTCTCTCTGAGACGAACGTTTTAAGATTTTGACAAACCCTGTACGACTTCACTGTCTCAGAAAAAATTATGGTAGTATGTATTAAAAGTATCTTACCTCCTCTCCTGAGCAACTTCAAGATCCTTACCCCCTTAGGTATAAATCCCTTCACGCCCCAGCACTTCCCCATCTTTGTGACTTTCTTCTGACCCTACACTTCCATCACACCTCCGATCCACACTGTTTCAGGTGTGACCCATCCTCTCCATGCCACCATCTGTGGCCGAGCCTTCATCTACCTCACGCCTGACTGTATCCCTCCGTCTCACACACACAAACACACACACACACTTTAGAGTATGTGTGTGTGTGTGTGTGTGGAAGGGAGGGAGGGGGAGGAAGGTTATGTTGATTTGGCCCAATTGTCGCAATAAATCAACAAGAAAACATGAATTAGATCTTAATATTAGTTAAAGACTCAAGAGTCTGCTGGGTTTTTACTGACCCAAACATTGCCCCTGAATGTTGGATGTCACTGTGCCATCAATGGGATTGAGAACCAGAGTCCTGTCAAGTTCCAGCACAGAGAAACCTTCAATATAACTCAAGGTTCCCCTACCATTAGTTTAAGATCGTTAGGGAAGAGGGAGATTAGGAGGAATATTTTACGCAGCGAGATGTTGTAATGTGGAATGTCCTGCCGGGGATTATAGTCAATGCAAAGTCCAGATTAGCTTTTAAGAGGGTACGAGATCGATACCTAAAAAAGGAGCCATTTGCAAGGGTCAGGGGAAAAGGCAGAAAAATAGGATTGGAAGGATTGCTTCCTTCAGAGTCAGTACAGACACGATGGGCCGAATGGCCTCCTTTCTGTGCTGTAAAGTTCTTTAGTACATCAGATAAATAATGACCCTTACGGCCCCTAGCATGTCAGGAGGTTGTCTCAAAACACTTCACAGGATTTACTGTAAAGAGCATTGACTTGTATTTAGATTGAATGTTCCATAATTGAATCCTGTAGCGTATTGGTCAGAGCATTCGCCTTAGGCAAGTTTCCTTACTCCACATGCCTCTGTTTATCAAGAGGTAAATAGGACCCCAGTTGTTAGTCGATTGCTGCATTGCTTTCCCCGGATAATAATCCCTCGAAAAATAAATAAATAATAATCTGACTCAGAGACAAGAGTTCTATCCACTGAGTCAAGCCTAAAACTTACTTGGGAAGTAAAATATCTGAAGTTTGAAGTGCTCGAAACTAATAAACCAAGGGTTGAATTGTGTTCCTATATTTTGATGATCTGTTAACATATTTTTGTCTTTCTGGTGGTTAGTTTCTTGGGCTGTTTTTCTAAGTAGGGGCTGAAGGTGACATTGCGAGCAGGAATGATGGCTGCAATGTGTGACTGAGACCAACGGAGCGTGGGAACTGGGTTACCGCTCATGGCCTCGGAATAAAGCTCTGAGGTTAACAACGTCTCCATTAATGTCAACTCAGCTTCCTCATGCTGCTCAGCCACATATTCAGACCAGTTCGGCACATCACATCAGCAGCATTCTCCAGTGGGACAGAACACTTTTAGTTTTTGGAAGAACACCTAGAATATTTCACAGCAATTCTTTGTAATAACAATAATCCTTGCATTTGTTAGAGCACTTTATCGGGTCATTGAGACGTCTCAAAGTACTTCACCGAATATATTGCAAAGTGTATTTTGTGGGCAAAACGCGGCAGCCAATTGCACACAGCAGTGTCACGCAAACAGTCGTGGATTAAGTTTCCACATTTTTATTTTACTTTTTGTTTTATTAAACAAAAAAACAAACTTTTGCATTTTGCCCACACAAATCACAGTAAATTCACTTTATAGTATATCCTGTAAAGGGCTTTGAGTTCTGAGTGATAAGGCCCTATATCCTGCAGTCCGGTATTTTACTGGTTTGAGCACTCACCTCGCAAGTAAGGGGACACTGGGTTCAATTCTTGGGCAGGGCGAAACATTAGGCAAGTTTCCTGACTCAACATGCCTCTGTTTACCTAACAGTAAGTAGGAACCCGGTGGTTAGTCGATTGTCGGATCGCTTTTCTGGGGGTAATAATCCCTCAAAAAAAACAATAATAATTTGGTCACTCAATCCACAGAACTGCTGTTCGCAATTGATATCGCGTTTTACCCCTAAAATATACAGTTAATTCACTTTACAGTAGATTCTGTAAAGCGCTTTGAGATGTCTCGAAGACGTGAGAAGGCACTATATCAAATCCAAGGATTATTATTACTATATCAAATCCAAGGATTATTATTACTACATCAAATCCAAGGATTATTATTGCTATATAAAATCCAGAGACTATTATTACTATATCAAATCCAAGGATTATTATTGTATATTTTTATTTTAGTGGGTTCTCTTCTTCGAGCTGGCACATCAGAGCTCTGAGGCTTAATACTGATCTGTGCTGCAGTAACCAATATAGGCAGGCAGCGGGAGAACCCTATGGTTTGGCAACAGGAGCACCAGGATTACAAGTGGGAAAGATCAGCGGGGTATCTGGCTCTTAATTACTATCCTGTGGTCCCTTGCAGATGTGCGGACACTGGGTGAGGATAGCACCAGTCTCAGCTGCGATGCCCTCTATAGTCCGATAGCCTGTTGACACTTACTGTGCAGCTCAGACACACGTGATAAATGAGCAGTGTACCAGAAGGTTTCCCTCCCAGTGCTGAAACTATCTTTCACAGGCCAGAAATTCTCCCTAGTCTTCGCCAACGAAGACTATCTTGGTTTAAATCACAAGGTTCCCTAGAATTTGTGGGAAATTCTTCAATTCTTGTTATGGAAGCTGTTTTTTTTTAAATTCATAATAATAATAATCCTTGCATTTGATATGGCGCCTCATCACGTGTTGAGATGTCTCCAAGCACGTCACAGAATATATTGTGAAGTGAATTGACTGGGTATTTTGTGGGCAAAACATGGTAACCAATTGCGCACAGCAGTGTCCCACAAACAGTCGTGGATTGAGTGACCAATGCATTATTATTTTTTAAAGGAATTATCAATTGAGAAGCAATCCATCAATCGACTAGCAACCAGATTCCTATTTTCTGCAAGGTAAACAGAGGTGTGTGGAGTAAGGAAACTCGCCCAATGTTTTGCCCTGCAGGTAGTCAAACTCAGGTCTCTCGCTTGCAAAGCGAGTGCTCTAATTACTGAGCTACAAATGCAACACTTAAGTTTAATTTTGCTTTTATTCCTGTAACCTCACCTCGTTTGAAGTCATTCGGATTTTAAAGACATCAGTCAAAATCCCTTCCCCCACCCCCCCACCCTACACACACACACACCCTATTTCGCAATGAAAGGCCACCTTTCATTCTCTCTCGTCTATAAATTGAAAAAAAAATCCCATTTATTTAGCTTTCTTTCAAAATCAGAGCAAGAACATTGAAATTGACTGTTGCAAGTTATACCAATAATGCCCTCTCTCCACACACATGCTTGGTTAAGAGTTTCAATAAATTCTGGGATATTGGTTTGATATTTGGGACAAAAAAGACGTCAGTTTGTGTATGTATATATATATATATATAGGCGATTCATCACACACTTCAGTGTAATGTTAGTGTGTTGGCTGTTTCCCAGAATAAGGCATGATAAAACATGTACATTGTAAACTATTTGGGGAATTTTATTTTATTTATTTTTGCACACCGTATTAGTTTTATTCAAATCTAATCGGGGTTTACTGTCTGAATATTATAAGTATATATATAAAATATATATATTTGTGAATGGGTATTCTCCTTCTGAGCCCTGCAAAAAAAGAAAGGGGGGTGGTATTAGTCTAATATAACACTGCAACATGTTGAACGTGAAAATTGGATCCTTCCATTCGGAATAAGTCTTCAAAACTAAATAATGCGCTTTTTTTCTCACGCTCGGCAAAGCTTGCAGCAATAGTTAGTGTTGCTAATCATTGACAAAGTCAGTTTGTTTTGATTGTGGCGTCTTGGCATAACTTGCAAGAGTTAATGCTAATTTAAACGTTCCTGCTTCGATTTTGAAAGAAAGCGAAAAGTACAGTGCGAATATTTTTCAATGTGCATTCCATCGGGACCGCAGACAATGTTTTTTTTTGGGGGGGGGGATTTGGTCACAAAGATATGCTGCGAGTTTGCTTCAAACAACTGGCTGGTAAATTCCCCTGTGAAGTGAAAAACGGTCCCATTCGTTCCAATGGGTGTGCAATCTGCCTCGCTCTTTTTTGCTCTCTGTTTCTCTGAACATCTTTAATCGTAACCAGCTTTCATCTGGTCAACTAGACACAATAAAGCAAGAGAAAATGCTGAATATTCCATACAAGGTAACAAAAAGGAGGAAGGAAAATACTGGATAAATCTAATTTGCCCACAGCAATAGCCATAAATAATAATAACAAATAATAATAATAATTTGGGATAGTTTAGGCTATGGCTCTTTGCGTGGTTACATTCTCACCCAAGTTATGCATTCATTTAATCTATCAGACCACAGAATGAAGTCGGCATCTTGCAAAGGCATAGACAGAAAAATTTCTGCAACTTCCACGCTGCACAACAGTAATAAAATGGGTTCATTTCTATCGGCTCAAGTCCTTTCGGATTTCAAAGTTGAAAATGTAATAAAATGTAATTTACGTTAGCTCCAAAACTTACCATTTCTTAACATTCTCTCCCCCCCCCCCCCCGCTCCCCCCCCGAAAAAAAAAACACACAACTAGAATACGCAAGAAATCGATTTAAAAAGAACCCAAAATTGTTGTTTTGTGGCTCACTTATAGGCCACAAAATGCACAGTCTCCACTTAACAGTATATCATGTGAAGCGCTTTGAGACGTCTCGACAACGTGACAAAGCGCTACATCAAATGCAAGGATTATTAGTTTGGATTATTATGGTTATTATGATGATGATGAAGATTGAGCCCGAAGTCAAAATAGTAACTAAACATCAAATAATCATTATTCTCAGAACGTTTTTGGTTGCTGTTTTTTCTTAAAAATCTGGTTATTTTTAAGAAAAACAATCGACAATCAAACAAAGGAATGATGTCGATTCCAAATTAAAGCGATCACCAGAAAAAAAACAAGTCGAGAAACTGGTTGTTGTGAAGGCTTGAAACTACAGCAGCTCGAAATAGGAACCGGCACATTGGCTGTAACCATGGCGACTGCCCACAAGGTGTAATGTATAGGCGAAGCCAAGTCTCACGGCAAAGATTGTGTGAATTCATTCATTTTTGTTGTGGTTTTAACCCAATCTTGTTGAGTTTTAATCCCAGTTGATCTCACACACACACCATCCCTCTGTGTGTGTGTGTCTCTCTATTTCGCTGTCGCTTGTGCTTTCAGCAACGACCGTTCATTGCCTTCCTCATTGATTGATTGATCGATCGATCGATCGATCGATTGATTGACAGACTGACAGACTGAATACACGCTTGGTTTTCCCACGCGTTTGCTTAAGCGTTCACATTTTCGGATCCACATTATTTAACGCATCAGCATTAAAACTCGTCGTGGGGTATTTTTTTTAATCAGCGGTACTGTACTGTACTGTAAAAAAAACAGTATATATAAATGATAAATACACATGTTTACAGACTGCGTTTGGATACAGACAGAAAACAAAAGTGTCCATTTCACATGATCTCTGTCGCTTTCCCCAGATGTTGTCATTTCTCTGGGCTTTTATTCCTTGGTTCCTTACTGGTCCAAAAGAAGCTGATCCAAGAAGCCAAACAACACCCCCCCACCCACCCCACTCCACTCCCAGTTCAGTTCCCCCCGTGTTCAAAGGTGTTCCCCCAACCCCAACTGAGATCAACACCGCTTCGGAATCATGAGTCACATCAAGAGCACTGAATCCAGATCAGATCCCCAAACTGACGAATCGTGTTCCTTTTTGTTCCCCCCCTTTCAAATTCACCTGTTACAGAAACGCTCCGTCGCGACGTTACTTGTAATGATAAATAAAGAGCAATAGGGTCGGTTTAAAAGACAAACATATAAGCTTTAAAGTCCAGAAGACCTTGGTCGCTTCCAATTCCAATTCAATGCCCCCAATGTAGCATTATTATTATTATACATATTGTCCAATAATGTTGCTGCTCATCTCCACCCATTGAGAACTTTAATCTTTCTTTTTTTTGTTTAATTAGAAAATAAAACAATATTATTTATGACTTTGAATGCGGGAGAAAACGGCGTCACAGCACCATTCACAGACCAAAGGGTGGTTTTAAACAGTGACCAGGTGCTTAGAGTGAAAGCAAGAATATCTGTCGAATAATTTATCAAAAGGTACAATTAAAGACTTGGAGGGGGAAAAAAAGTTATTTCCATCTCGTACTCACTTTTGTGCGATTTTGTTAGTAGCGATTTTTGCAAGAACACAGTTTAAACCCACTACAGTTAATACACTCATTCATTCTTTCTCTCTCTCTCTCCCACACACCCACACAACTAATACATTGAACTGCTGGGATGTACAGTAAATCAAATGAGGTGAACACATCGAATATAAATATTTCTTGTTAAGGCTCATTCAATCTGCATCCTCCTTTATCAAAGCTATCGGGAGACCCACAGAAATCCATCCAGTGTGTTAGAGAAAAAAGAACATGTGGCAGACGACCCCAATAATCACAGAACAAAAATAAAGGCCAGATTCTATTATATTTGCTTCATTCCTCTCAACTGTGAAAACATTGCACCAATTTACAATCCAGCTCAGACAAAATACATTCCGAATCGCATTCTGTGTGGCTTTTTTTTTATATATACAGTATATTAAAAAAAATTTCATCCAAAAATTAAACTGATTCATATGAAAAAGCTCATGGGTTTCTGTATGTCTCCAATGTAGAGATAAACATTTAGCATGTCTTGATCCTTCTCCCCCCCATCCCCCCCACCTTCCCCCACCCAAAAATTGCCTCCTGATATTTCAACCTCAAAGGATCTGAAATGGTCAAACGAGAAGGCGGGTATCTGTGAATTCTGAATCAGTGGCAAAGGAGTGGGTTCCTCAATGCATGTGGGGTAATAGATATGCAGTGTAGGTGCCTGTGTGTGTGTGTCATGTGTATCTGTGTGTGTCTGTGTATGCGTGTGTCCATGCGGTCTTCCTCCCTACTCGCTTCAGTGCTATTGTCGTCATCCCCTCACCCACACAGACGCACACATACACACAATTGGGAAGTTGAACACAGTTTTGAGACGATTTAAAATGTTCTGAGAGAATCTGACGAGCAATAAGTTAACAATATATTCTTATTTCCCATCATGTGGGAACTCCAAATAACGTCCTGCCCTATTGTCAATGAACGTTAAAAATAGTTTAATAATTAAAACATGTTTTTATATAAAAAAACTCACATTTAGGTGTAGATCAACATGGTCCAAGTCATGTTAGATCAGGTGAAGATTTGGAGTAAGTTTATCTGCAGTAGCTTATTATATACAGTATAGATTTTAGTAAAACAAGAGTTATTGATGTACTACCCTGATCTGTCTACATCCCTCCCCTCCCCCCACCTCAAGGAGCTATCAATTGCAGGGAGGATTATGTAGCTATAATAAAAATAATCCTTACATTTGATACAACGCCTTATCACATCATTGAGACATTGCAAAGCGCTTCACAGAATATTCTGTGAAGTGGATTTACTGTGTGTATTGTAGGCAAAATGCGGCAGCCAATTGCGCACAGTAGTGTCTCACAAACAGTCGTGGATTGAGTTAATTATAATTATCACCAGGACAATGCTACAATAATAATCATTTGCAATTACTGTGTCATTCCCAGCAGCGTCTCAGCAGATATTGGAGAAAACCCGCTCGACACGTCAAATCAGGTGATAGGAAAAATCACAATGCTAACTTTAAGCAACTTTAACTGACAGCTTTTACAGCTGCAATCGATGGGAGTTAGAGGCGTGGGGAAGGGGGGCATAGAAATCACTTATCGCTCGATCTTTGGGCGAATATTCATGAAAGTAAATGAAATTGATGCAGTAGCAATTTTTTTTTCTGTTTCAGGAGCGGTTGACTGTACAGTATCGGGATCTGGGCGAGAGTGTTGTGTGAAATACACTGTAGGGTGTTTTTTTTTTAGTGGTGGTCCGTTTGTTAGTATTTACAAAACTGTCGAGGAAAACAAAACTTTCTGACAATAACCATATTGCTAAACAGAATATATATATATATATGTATATATATTACATTAATATAAGACGCAGAGGGCAGTTCGGTGTTGATTGCGCCGTGCGTAGGTAATATCCGGGCAAGATGTTGCTTCGTATTTTGACATTCCAAATGTTGGTGTGAGCTGGGCTGGTTCTCAGCACACTGACGAGCCGTTCAGAGTCACTTTGCGATCTCTGCCCACAGACGGAGGTAACTGGTGACAGTTTGTGTTGCCGTTCACGATGCTGGCGGTCGCGGTCGGGTGGTAGTGGGGGGTGGGGGACTGAGCCGGGGTCCCGGGGCCGTGGCTGGGACTGGGGAGAGACGAGGAGGTGGAAGCCAGAGCGGCTGGACTGCTCCCTTTCTCACTGACTGAGTCACTCTCAGAATGCACACTGGTGCTCGCCAAGTCCTCGCTGGAGTGGGCCAGCTTTAGTCGCTTGCAGGCGGGTTGAACCTTGTATTTTAGAGGCAATGGACCGTTCTGAAAGCAACGTCAACAGCCGAAAATTAAGACATGAACAGCAGGCAATAATAATGAGAATAATAATCCTTGCAATTTGACCCAGCGCCTTATCACATCTTCAAGACGTCTCAAAGAGCTTCACAGGATATACTGTAAAGTTGTATGTTTTGTATATTTTGCGGGCGAAAGGCAGCAGTCAAATGCGCGCAGCAGTTACCCACAAACAGTCATGGATTGAGTGACCAAATTTTTATTATTATTTCTTTTGAAGGGATTATTACCCCCGGAATGCGATCCACCAATTGACTAACAACCGGGTTCCTACTTAGGTAAACAGAGGCGTGTGGAGTAAGGAAACTTGTCCAACATTTCGTCCTGCCCGGGAATCGAACCCAGGTCCTCTCGCTTGCAAGGCAAGTGCTCTAATCACTGAGCTGCAGGACTTCACAAATGAATTACAAGTAGATTGCATTCATTGATCCATCACATAAACGGATCAGATCTGTGCTAGAATAACTGGAACCCAAACAACATCTGAATATAACACGTATTGTTATTATTATTAAAGGTTACCCACCATTTGTTTAAAGATAAAGTTATAAAAACAAGCTCCTCCTTGATTTAATGTTCGCCCCTTCCCTGGTCAATGAATTCAGATTATTTCCCCAATTGCTATCTGTTACAAGCATCAAATATTTATACGTTAAAAACTCTTTTCTAGCGTAACTTGAATTAACAAAAAAAATTAGATTGTTTCAAGTAAGCTTTTGTGGTCTTGATTGTATATAAAGCTGTGTTGGGAAAAGAAGCAAAGCTTATAATAACTAATAATAATAATAATACAGGTTACAAGCTAACAGAATTGCAGTAAATCATCCAATAAATTAGCATTGTGATTGATATTTACAGTGTTCACCACAAAATATTGTGTCAGGAACACTTAATGTTTTTACAATAGATGTACATTGGAAATAACATCATATTTTTTATACGGAGATCACAGTGGAGGTTAATCCATGCAGGAGTCATCAACCATCACTTAAGACTCCTTAACCTAGATGGGTTAAGTGCAAAAGCATTTTATTCCAGGTTAATTTATAACAGCGATTACTGGAAAAGGATAAACTACATTCGATCATTTTATCAGTGTGAAAAGGGCCTGACTAATTTTTGATCTGAGCACCTTCATCTCTGGGTCTGTGTTAACACAAATACTGGTGTATATGAAACCGTAAAGCTCAGAGGTTTAACTGAAGGGGCTGATAATAATAATCCTTGCATTTGATATAGCGCCTTATCACGACTTCGAGACATCTCAAAGGGCTTCACAATATATACCGTAAAGTGAATTTGACTGTATATTTTGTATAATTCGCAGCAGCCAATTGCGCACAGCAAACCCAGGTCCTCTCGCTTGCGAGGCGAGTGCTCTAACCTCTAAGCTACAGAACTCATTGATATGAGCAATGATGGGCAGTGATCACCTGCAAGGGGTGTCAGATAGAGAATAAATGAAATGGGATAAAAATAGGTTAACAGGAACAATCTGCCTGGAGTCTAGCCATGCCTAGCAGGGTATTATATCTGGCTTATGGGAGCAAGGTTGGGCCTTCTGTTCATAATATGTATGTAAAAAAACAAGTACCCTCCAATGAACACGTTGATATTCCAAGGAGAGCAGTATTGGTGTATTTACGACCGTGATTGTCAGCCAGGGTCTGAATCACTCGGGGTTTAACCTGCAAAGCTCCCCAGCTGGGACTCATCACACACAGCTCGGAGGGATATGGGAGTTCTTAAGGGTGGGGATAAAAGATCTGTAAATGTAGCACCAAATTGCAATTTTTTTTTCTTTTGGTTGGGAAGTGTATCGATAATTGGGCGGTTAGCCTCGTGAACAAGCAGCATTAGCCCCTCATGTCTAAACTCATCTTTAACCTACTGTTCGTCTTACAAATGACACAGTTACTACACTTTACAGCAGTTACATGTGAAGCGCTTGAGACATTTCCAAGTTATAAGGCGCTACAATGAAATGCAGTGGTTATTATTAAACCCATCAACACATGTAATATATGTATGAAAATCAGACTTGAGTTTGATAAAGTGCCTGGTACTGTTGACCAAACATCCCAAAGTGTTTTACAAGACTTTATTTTAAGTGTAGTGACTGTGTATTTGTAAGCAAACTTCTATGTGTGCGTGTGTCCGTCTCACTCTTTCTACTTCTTTGTCCAACTAGCACTCTCTCTGTCTTTCAGTATATATGAATAAAACACACAGTTGACCACATAAACAAGGTTAATTACCCTTCTCCATGTGTAGATATAGGCTATGTCCATTAATGTGTAGTAATCTTTCAGTGGCTCATCTTCATACATAACGTCAATCTAGAAAGGAAACGGACGAAAAGGTTTCAGACCAGGTCACAGATCAAACAGAGAGAGAGTGAGAGAGAGAGAGAGAGAGAGAGACATTTTCAATTGTGTTTCAAGGCAGAAGCGATTGACAAACGGACCCGGAAGTTACTGGGGATGTCCATTTTATTCCGTAAAAACTTGCCCAGATGCATCACCGTCATGGCTGCAGGACACCTGAGGTAGCGAACGCTGTTAGCCTGGCCAAGGGGAGGAGAAAGCAGAAGGTTAGTCAGATCTGGTGTTGACCTTATCCAAACACACTATCAGGCCACTCATAGGAATATCAATATCATGCGTTATTCAATGCCGATTGGTATGTCATTTGAAAGGCTCTTACAATCATACCTACACACACGTAACACACTCACATTCATACATACGCACACACATGCACAGACAGACAGACAGAATTTTATTTCTAAGAGATCATGAATGGGAACCTTTGAACGAGAAGGGAAATAAATTGCTGGAATATCATTTCAAACATGACCTGAACAGGTATGAAACGTAACTGGGCAGGTGGGTTGAGTTTAGCCTCAGGGAGAGCAGCTAGCAGGGCTGCGGTCTTCCTTCCTCTGAAACCATCTTCCCTCTAAAGTTTCCAACTACATGTAATATGACTGAAATCGCCCGCTGCTTCTCAGTACACAAGATCTGCTGAGTAACTTGGTAAAAAAAGGCAACACTGACCAAGTCGTGTCAAGAGTGTAGAGAGGTCCCACTGCACTATTCTTGCAGAAGCTAGCGATAGGAAGCATCAATGCAGATGGGTTTCCGCGTAGGTCAGAACTGTATATTCATGCAGTGGATGGTATTGATGTCACCGTGCATGTTGAGAGGATTAAACTGCCCCCTCCACATGAATGGACAATAAACAAGTGGATAAACACCCAGTAATATTGGATTTAAGTGGAACCAAAATGCAGGGAGAACTCCTATTTGCCAACAGCACAACCAAAGGAAATTCTGTTCATATTCTGTAAAGTAAAATGCATATCCTGTGAAGTGCTTTGAGACGTCTAGAAGACGCAAAAAGCGCTATAACAAACGCAAGGATTATCATTATTATTATATGCTGCTTTGGAATGTCCCGGTGGATCGGAGAGTCAGGTTTGCTCTTACGTGATAAGATATAACCTGTCGACCTGTTGGCTCTCTCTGCTCAGCAGGCTATGTCCTGCTCAATGTTCCCCTGCCCTGCCTGGCTCGCCCCACCATCGGCGGTCGGGACTTCAGCCTCTCTGCCACCACCCTTTGGAACTCCATTCCACGTTCGCTTTGTCTCGTTCCCTCCCTTGTCTCCTTCAAGGCACATCTCAAGACCCTCCTCTTTGACAGCACCAAATCCCTGACTGTCCAGCACCTTGGGAGTGCTTCCAACATGAAAGGTGCTATGCAAATGTTATTTTGCATAAACAAATAAATCTCCAGCAAACACTGTGGCTTTGGATCCGCACCAAGGCAGGGAATGAAAAATCCCACCCAAAAGTCATTTGTATAAAAAAACTCCTCCTCCAAAAGTTTTTAAAAATAATTCTATGCACCTTTCACGCTTTTTATAGTGAATTTCTGATTGACTGCCGAGTCCCAGCACTTCGCTTTACACTCATCATTCCTTGGGTTTTCAATTAAATCAGTTAATAGAAAACCAAACTGCCGTCTCTAAGCCAAATGTCACAACTCCATAGAATGTTTCTCCTCCCTTCACCAGTTGGATGTGAATTTCCGGGTCACTCAATGGAAGCTGGTAATCTAAGTATTGACATGGCTTTCCCCTAATTTTCTAATCTAACCCCTTCTAGTTCCTCGACTCAAATACCATTCTGATAACTAAAAGCTTCCCGGTTAATTTTCTAACCTTTCTCGTGCCCTTTTGCTCCTCGTGATATAACAGCCTCGCTGCTATTTCTAAACTACGGGTGAATTGGAATCTCATCAAATATCATCGTAACAGTGGCAGGACTGCCAACAAACACCCTCAGTTAAACTAAACTGTCCGCTGATCTCAGAAATAGTTAAGAGGGAATCGCCTGCTTGACACTGAGACGTGCACTTGTGGTTTGCAAAGGCCAACAGTTTAGAAGCTCAATAACTAGGTCAGTGGTAAGCACAGTAACCCAGTTAGTTACCTTTCCCGCGTCTTCAGTCTGTGTGGCATCTTTCTTTTCTGACCTACAACAGAACAGAGTAGAACAGTTTGGTTCGGATGCTCTTAAGCATGGTGATGGGTTTCTGCATGTGTCAGACACCAGACTGACCAAAAAAAAGTTTTGACAAAAGCAAGTTCTGCAATTACTTACCATGTCGTGTGAATCATAATTCCCTCAGATCAAAAGCACCAGGAAGTTTAACCTCTGAAGAACTTCCTGATAATTGCTAAAAAAAACAACTTTACCCCTTCCCTACCCCCATTGAATTATATTACTTCTTGCTAAACTATAAGGCTGGCATCCTTAAGTCATAAATTCAGAGTCACTGGTCCAGGGAATGGTAGATTGATTTAGAAGCGTGAGATGTAGCAATTAAATATAANTTTTTTTAAAGAAAAGGAAATATGTCGACCTTTATTTCCCACTCAAGTGTTGTTAACATGTTCCTAAAATACAGGTTTACACTTAGAAAATAAGAACAGAAGAATTTGCGAGTACCAGTTTGCCCTTCACTACCCTGCCTCGACATATCGTGTTCAAACTACATATACTGTATCCTGAGATATTATTTTCTAACAGAAACCTATCTAATTTGTTCTTGAAAGAATCGAACCCTTCTGCTTCCACTGTCTCCCTAGGGAGCCTGTTCCATACATTTACCATTCGCTCACAAAAGTAGTGTTTCCGCAGATTTGTTCTGAATTTATTCCCCTTCAATCGCAGGATGTGTTCTCTGGTTCTACTGTTCAGCACAAGATAAAACACCTCATATCTGAAGCAATGGATTAAAAAATTGAAGGATTAAAAAAATACATTTGAAGTGCGCAATAGATTGTTTGGCCGAACTTACTTGTTACCCTCGTAAAACTCTAAAGACAAGCTGATGATTTCATCGTCTGTAATAATTCTTTTCTCCTCCTCTGTGACTTCCCCGCGGTCTTCATTTGAACCATTTGTAACTGCGTTCCATAGGGTAGACGGGAACAGAATGAAATGAGAGACAGTCAGGAAACAAAAAGCTCCACTTTGATCCGTTTTCGCCCACATAATATATAGTCAATTCACTTTCCAGTACATTCTCTGAAGCGCCTTGCAATGTCTCGAAGACGTGATAAGGTACTATATTAAATGCAAATATTATTATCTATTCTAACTAGCCTGCATGTAAGCTTTTAAAAATACTGAGCACCGTGTTTATACCAGCTTTTGGGACTGATACTTACACCATCACTAAAACCTGGCCAATTGGCTAACAACTGGATTCCGACTTACTGCTCGGTAAACAGAGGTGTCTGGAGAAAGGAAACTTGCCTAACATTTCGTCCCACCCGGGAATCGAACCCAGGTCCTCTCGCTTGCGAGGTGAGTGCTCTGACCGATACACCACAGGAATTAATTCCCAGATTTTCAAATAATAATCATTTACCGTCTGCCGAAGGATGCGCTGCATAGAAATCTCGTCTTCTTTTCATCTCATCTGCAATGGGTAAAAGGGGAAATGGGTCAAAACGAGATCGGCTTTGCTGTAACAGTGTCAGTAAAAAGTCCAGTGTACCTACCTTTGAAAAGGCCTGGAACTAGTTTGTACACTATGTCTTGCAAAGTTTTATCAGCCCTGAAACGAGACCAGAAAGAATTTGAAATCTGCCGTTCGCATTGTACAATTTGAAAGACCTGCGGTGTGTTGGGGTTTGAGCATTGTCTTCATTGACTTCTTATAAGTTGAAGTGCAGAATTTGTCAAAATTTCTAATAGTCCTTTATTCTGAAGAATGTGTGCGTGTGCCCACGTGTATAATGCAAGCAAACAGAAATACTCACCGAACACTGAGAAGCGGTCTTGTTTTGTGCACTTGCACATCACATATGGGACAGTACTTGTTGGTTTCCAAGTAGCGGACGATGCAAGTTTTACAAACTGCAGGATATTAAACAAGAAAACGGTAACAGTTGGAGCAACATTGCAAAATAAAAGGAGCAGCAAAGGGGGTAAGGGTTTGGATCTGTTTTGTCACCTATTGTGCTATAATTCTGACTATTCAATATACATGAGCACAGATCATAGTACTTGTAACTATCTTTGTCTTTCCACGAGGCAATATATTTTATCCTGTGATACTTAAAAGTAAATATACCACCCAATACTTCAAAGATGGGGGTGGTTGAGGGGCGGAGGTCTTTACGTCAATACGAATGTTGAATACTTAGCTCCAAGCTGCCTCTGAAGCCTGCAGATATAATAATAATAATAATCCTTGCATCTGATAGAGCGCCTTATCATGTCGTTGAGAGTCTCAAATCGCTTCACAAAATATACATTCAATCCACTTTAGTGTATGTTTTGTGAAGCGATTTGAGACGTCTCAACGACATGAAAGGAATATACTGTAAAGTGGATCGACTGTATATTTTGTGGGTGAAACAAAGCAGTCAATTGCGCGCATCATTGCCTCACAAACAGTCGTGGATTAAGTGAGTCCATTTTTTTTTAGGGCTTATTGCCCCCGGAAAGTGATCCGCCAATCGCCTAACAACTGGGTTCATATTTACTGCTAGGTAAACATAGGCATTTGGTGTATGGAAACTTGCCTACGGCTTCGCTCTGTCCGGGAATTGAACCTGGGTCCTCTCAAATGTGAGGCAGTTGCTCTAACCAATACTCTCCGGGGGATTCTACTTAAAAAAGTTATAAAATTATCGCCTTGCTCTGATCCACAATGAAGAGTTTCCAAGAAAGAAAGGGAAAACATTCAATGAACTCTTAGATTAACTGGCCAGCCTTCCAAGGCAGTTTGTACACACACACGGAGTTCTCTAATACCAATGTAAGATGACAGTGTTTCCCAGGATGGCTAAAATTGCAGCAGATGTAGTTTGTTAAATGGATCCAACTTCAAATGTAACAAGGAAAAGCCAGGATATCCCAGGACACCACTCGTTCCCTGGAAATCGTACGATCAGATGGCAATGAGCCATCTGCTACTCACTGTGTACCTTCTGAACCCTATGCAAAAACATACCCCCAGAACCTGTTGCAAAGCAGCAGCAGCAGCAGCAGAACCCAGAGTGAAGGTTGATGTTAAATAATAATAATTATTGTATTTGTTCATGAATGCAGCAGCCAATTTACAATATCTCACAAACAGCCACGTGGAATCCGTAGCATAAAGGCTAGCGTGCTCGCCTTGCAAGCTAGAGGACCAGGGTTTAATTCCCGAGCAGGGTGAAAGCTTAGACAAGTTTCCCTACTCCACACGCCTCTGTTTAACTAGCAGTAAGTAGGTTGTTAGCTGACTGGCACATCGCTTTCCAGGTGTAATAATCCCTCCAAAAAATATATAATTAGGTCACTCAATCCACAATTGTTTGTCGTGAATCAATCGTGTACAGCAATCCTTTACACAGTCAATCCACTTTACAGTACATTTGGTGAAGCGATTTGGGATGTCTCAACAATGTAATAAGGCCCTTCTTTTCAGGAGAATGTCTCAAAGGCCTTCACAGGATTTGCTATAAAGGATAGTGACTGTGTGTTTTGTAGATTAAAAGGGCAGTGGTGGACTAGATTATTATGCACTGTAGACAGTGTGTTGTCTGCATGAAACAGATGCATGACCTTTCACAGCTAATACATTCTGTATTTACATATTCTGCAGTATTTGCTCTCTCTCCTTTTTTTCGAGAGTGATTAATAATGAATTAAATGTACTAAAATGTGATTAAGTTGTACAAAACTGCATTCAAACAATGTTAATTTTAAGAGTTTTTAAATATTTCTTTCAGGAAACCTTTTCAAAGTAATTTTCCCTGCTTGTTCACCTGCAAAATATTGAAGCCCAGTGCTACAATGACTTTTATACACCTACAAAAATATGGTGACTACACTTTACAGGAAATCCTTTGAAACTCTTTGAGATGTCCTGCTGACGTGAAAGGTAGTATCCCAAATTCTAGGATTGTTAGTATTAATAATAATAATCCTTGTAGCGATAATAATGATATAAAGCCTTATGGTATCGTGAGACATCACAAAGCACTGCAGAGAATTTTTATTTTATTTTTGGGGGTCAGCAGGGTGGAAACCTATCACCATGCTTAAGAGTATTCAAACCAGGATGAGATTTCCATGTATCCCACCTAGAGAGACCTGGGGATTCACGTACACAGTCCTTTAAATGTGGCAGAACAGGTTGATAAAGCTGGTATAAAAAAGCATACGGGATCCTTTGCTATATAAACAGAGGCACAGAGTACAAAAGCAAGGAAGTTCTGCTAAATGTTTATAAGTCACTGGTTAGGCCTCAGCTGGAGTGTTGTGTCCAATTCTAAACACAAAAGGATATTTTAGAAAGGATATCAAAGCCTTGGAGGGAATACAGAGTAGATTTATTAGAAAGGTACCAGGGTTGAGGGACTTTTTAGTTATGTGGAGAGACTAAATAAGCTGGGATTGATCTCCTTAGAACAGAGGAGGTTAAGGGAAGATTTAATAGAGGTGTTGAAAATTATGAGTAGATGGGGAGAAAGTGTTTCCACTGGCAGGTGGGTTGGTAACCAGGGGACATAGATTCAAGATAATTGGCAAAAGAACCTGAGGGGAGATGAGGAGAATTTGTTTTACACAGAGAGTTGTTACGGTGTGGTTCTGAAAAGGGTGGTGGATTCAGATTCAATGACAACTTTCAAAAGGGAATTGGATATATACTTGAAAAGAAACGATTTGCAAGGATATGGAGAAAGGATTTGGGGGAGTGGGACTGATGGGGTGGCTCTTCCAAAGAACCAGCACAGGCACGATGGGCCAAATGGCCTCCTTCTGTGCTGTAATATTCTATGATTCTCTGGTACACATGGAAATCTCACAGATAGAGTGTTGGAATGGAATGCACACCCTCTCCCTGGATGGAGACGAGACTACAATCCTCACAGAATATATTATGAAGTGGAGGGACTGTGTATTTTGTGGGTGAAATAGGGCAGCCAATTGGGCACAGTATTAATAATAATTCAAATAAAATGTCATTATACAGTACTTATAGAGTACTACCTACTGAACCAGCAAATCCAGTTTGATAACAAGACATTAAAAGTGTCTGAATCAATTACGAATTCTATAATAATAATCCTTATATTTGGTTTATTGCCTTTCACATCGGGACATGCCTCAAAGCACTTCATAGGATATATTGTACAGTGGAGTGACTGGGTGTTTTGTGGATGAATGCAGCAGCCAATTTGGGCACAGCAATCAGTCCAACAATCAGCCACAAAGTGAATGACCAATTTTATTGGGGTATTGTTGGCCAATGACACCTCTTTTCGAATAGTGTCATGGGACGTCGTTTAATATCTCTTCTGAAGGATGGCACATCCACATATGAAGTACAAATCTGCCACTACATTGAAGCATCGGCCTAGACTACGTGGGTTCCAAGTCCGACTTAAGGCTTGAACTCATAATCTTCTGACTCGGAGGCAAGAATGCTACCGACTGAGCCAGACTGACATACACACAATTCTGTTCTCATCCAAACTCAGTGGGAACTGATCTCCCAGTTCTTGATAGATTTAAAATGAGGCACTGGTTCCACAGCATAAATAATATTTATTCTAAAAAAAATTGTGGTGGAAACCAACAGGCAGTGGTGAGATGTTATGTACAGCTTAATCTATCCCTGGGCTGCGTTTGATGAATTAATGTAATCACAGACATTAGGGAGTGTATAAAAAGAACGCTTTGGAAATGAGGACTTTGTGCTGAATGCCTGGCCACAAGTGGCTATTACAGCTAAGATCCAACTCGATTTAAAATAGAATTGGATATTTGCAGAAAAGTGATATAAAAGGATACACGCAAAAAGTGGGTAATTGGAACTAAAGTACAGTAGTTGCATTAGTTTTCAAGAGGGAACTAGATATCTAGAAAGGAGTAATTTGTCGGAATGGGGGTGGCAGGTAAATGGAACTGAATGCATTACTCCTTTAAAGGGATATAATTACCAGTTCTGATGAAAGGTCATCGACCTGAAATGTTAACTCACTTTCCTCTCTCCATCGATGCTGCCTGACCTGCTGCATGTTCCCTGCGACTGCTGTTTTTGTTTCAGGTACAATGGGCTGAATGGACTTCTTTTATCCTGTAAATTTCTGTGGTTCTACAGCTGGATGCAGTGGGACAAATGGCTATTTCTGTGAGGCAATTTCCCTGATTTCATGTCTACGTACAGTGTGTCACCAACAACTAATCCAATCTTGCGGTTCAGATGACTTTACAAAAAGATTAATGGATACCTTAGCGTTATTAGTTCAATAAAGGGGTTAAATTAATGACAATACAATAACAAGATAGTACAGAATCCTAGTCTAATTTGGAGTTCCTCACATGTATCTCTGGATTAATTGAAGATGTGTAATGACTCCCTGAACGTTATATACAGGATGATCAAAAGTCGTGATACCATTTATTTTAATAATTACTTTATTTCTTCATCATTTCTTTCAGACTCGTTAGACATTGTAATGGTATCACAACGTTTTGGTCACCCGGTATATAACATTCAGGGCATCATTAGACATCTACAAATCAATCCAGAGATACATGTGCTTTTTAATAAATGGCTACTATTTATTCCACAGCAGTAATACAACTGCCCAATTCACATTGCTCATAGAACTAAAACAATCTCCCTCAATCCCTCCGCCCTGCCCCCTCCTTCCCCATCTTCAGATAAGGCCTGAAGACCTTCCTGTTCGACTGTGCTTATGGACACTACCCCCTTCCCAGACTCCCACCCTGTGGATCTGTGTCAGGCTACGCCACTGTCAATACACTTCTATATTTTCACATAAAAAGTACATAAATATTATAATTTGGAGACTATGTCCTTCAGATTTAACGTACCATTCTGACTCTATTCT